CGAAGAACTAGAACCAGATGCAAAGTCAACAAACTGTCTGCCCACCATGTACTTTTATCGAGAAGATGTACTTAAGACCCTCAACACCTAAGCCACGCAAAGTAAATAGGACCGGATGAAGTACATTCCAAAAGCTCGAAACAAAGTGTACACTATGTTGCAGCCGCATTGACTACGATATTCAATATGTCACTTGGTCAAGGTGAATACCTACAGACTATGAGGATGCAATTGTCACTCCAATACATAAAACAAGACCAAGACAACGTCCATTGAACTACAGACCTGTCAGCCTCACCAGTGTCATTGCTAAAACATTGGAAAGAATAGTCAACAAGATCATATTAATATTCGTGGAAACCAAAACGTGTTAAACAGTGAACAACATCGTTTCAGAAAGTGTTTATCTTGCACAACAAACCTCCTCAGAGCAAGGAGATATGGATAGAGGCTATATGCAATAGAAAATCAGTGGAAATTGTCTACATATACTCCAGTTAGTCATTTGATTAGGTGCCAAGAAATAGGCTACTATTGAAGTTAGAAAATCTTCGTATTGCCGGACGTCTTTTAAAATGGCTTAAGGATTTCCTAGTGGGTCGTAGAGAGTAAGAATAAATTCTAAGTGTTCCACTTGGAAACTAGTACTTAGTGGAGTACCGCGAGGCCGTCTTATGTCCTTTATCTTTTATACTGTATGTAAATTAACTACCATACATAGTTGGGTCCCCAATGCTACTATACGCTAATGATGTAAAAATCTGACGACAAATAACAACAAGCGCATTTCAGGCAGACTTATATATTCTGATTTGCTTGTCTAAAAGTGGATGGTGTGGAGATAACTTCAATCCAAATTTCGTATAATTACGACTCCTTATGATCTAGTGGACTGTCATGAACTTGAAGTGACTCACGTTTATCACGAGAACACGACTGGTTTAATAAAAACAAATATTATTATAACCAACTGTACCAGTGTTTGTTTTAACGTGCTTTTGTTTGACTGTGCTAATGACAGCTATTTTGTGCTTCCATTCTTTTACTTACACTTTGATTGTAACTTCGCGCGGATTCGGTTACGTTCTGTAACCAAGCTTGTATCCTGGCACGATCTCGGTATCCTTTCGATGCCACGAGATCGCCAGCAAATAAACATCGACTTGGTCCATTAATTGCCTTCTGGTATTTGGCTTCTCGGGAATTTTATGGATCTATTTGGTTACGTCCAACCCTCGCCTTCTGATTTATTTGGCACGTGTTTCTTGGTAGCGGTGTTCATAGTTAATCTCAACTCGACGCCACGCTACAAACTAATGGTATTGATGCTGATTTATTATGCATAATACCTCATTACAAGCAAACTACACCGTTCGCTAAAAACGGAGCCTACTGAAGACCGTATAAAATCCAAAAAAGAGAGAAGGCCATTTGTGTATCATAATACTGGTTTCAGCACTATATTTTATAACTGCACATAATCCCATACTCTCAGCTTCTTTCTGAACCACCCCCATTTTTCAGTTGTTTATCCACTCATACCTTGTTTACACTCATTTTTTTTAACCTATTTGAATGCTCATGCTTAATAAATACTTTGAAAAAAGAGAGAATTAGACTGAAAAGTCATATCTTAACTATTCCTTCATGAACATTGTTTGCTCTGCTTCTCGCCCTTTCTTTTTCTTGCAACTTTTTTCAGCCCCCTTGAGATACGCTACTGAAAACAGATATGGAACGGTGGATTTCGTCCTTCACCATCAATAAAGCCTCAGATATTCCAAAGGGATATAAGCTTGCGATTTCTAGAAGCTCCCACCCTCAATGGATCTATTCTCGACCATCAGTTGCACGTCGGAACGCAACTTTCATGAAGCGCGCCAACTGTTATACTGACTAAAACCATCTACATTCATATCTTATAAATTATCAACCCAGCTGAGTAATTTGCTACAGTGGAAATCTTATCATTTATAAAAATTTGATGTTGCCTGTAACTTGGCATGCTTCATGTAACAAACTGTTATTTGAGAATAAATAATAATTATTATTAATGCGGCCAAGTGTGTCTACATGTGCTTTGGGGATGCACAGGCAAATACGTACAGCATAGAAGTGTCTGTTCCCGTGATCTAGTCTCACTAGGGCCATTGTGTCATAGTCAGTCATGATCTTAAGACCATGACCCATTGCCAGGATGTTGCAGCTAAAGCGTTTAGAACACGATGGGTTTTAAGACGAACATTCACTAATTTGGATACCACCATGTCCACCACAGGATACAGAACCCACATAAGATCCGAACTTCAAACCTGCGTCCGGGATGCCAGCCCCGGGTTAAAAGGTGACTCGGATATCCTAAAACATCCAGAGTACAGCTAATCGTACAGCTCCAGAACTCCGGGAGCAGTCATAGACAAAGCGGTTTGAAAAGATAGACCTCATTTCTTTACTTTTCAATAAGTGATCTGATTTTGATTTGTAGAATATTTACAAACAGTTTCAGTCTGGAAAGAATAGGAGACTTGGTGGATTGTGTTAGTCATGGCAATGACTGTCTCTCAGTTGATCCAATCATCTTTTGAAAGGGTCAAAAGACTAGGCTTCAATCACGTGATGAAGTAATGAATTCCAATCGTTGATGATTCGATGAGAAAGTCAATAGTCAATTGACAAATAAGTTGTTCTGGGTTTGTGAACGTTTTTGCAGTGTCCTCGTAAATTCTGTTTTGGAAAACAAGAAAAATGAGGGTAATGTCAGACGCAAATTTATCACCAAGTAATTTGAAAACTGTAATCCAAGTTTAGTCCTAACGTGATTTGCATATATCAAACTTTTGCTGTGTTCTTACGCAACAAAAGTACCATTTCAGTTCTAAAAAATCTATCCTGAGCTATACGTTCGGTAGATTACTTTTTTTTTAGTTTCACTATATTTAATAGTTACCTGTGGTTTTGCCTCAGCTTACTATTTGGTTTTTTTTGTTTTTCACGTATTGACCAGTTTCAGTTTATATCACTCGTTTTGTCCGTTTTTGTCCGTTTTCAGTGTGCATTTTAGTGTTTTTTTTAAAAGGTCTTAAGCTTTTGCCAGCATCTATAACATAGTTTGCTTCAACACCGTCATGAAAAACTCATGCAAACGTCCGGGATGCCGTTTTGCTGTCACAACTGGCATGCAGTGTGACAACTGCAAAGGTTGGTTTCACGAAGCATGCACAAATCTGACAGCAACTGCTTACAACAAACTCAGCAAGTCAGACCAAAAGTGGGTATGTGTCACGTGCAACACGGACGCAGTAGTCTTGCTGAGTAACATCATTGTCCTACTGACAGGTCTTCGAAACAAGCTGTCAAATAACTTGGAATACGACAGTAAAAAAACCGATATACAAACAAGAGCGCGCAACGGACTCAAAAATAGGGATGTCGATAGGTATGTCATCGATGGAGCATCCATCAACACTAACGACGACGTGTCGAGGCTCAGTACCATCATTACGTCGACGGTACTAGACTCCCTAGGCAAACTCGGGTCCCCCAGCTCAGGGTCGCTGAACACAAAAGTGGTTCCCAAAAACCCTGCAGGCGATTCGACCCACGTTAAGAGAGCCCAAAAGAATCAGGCATCACCGCCTAAGTCGAGCAACCCAAGTGTTGCTGCACGGAAAATAACCGGTGATTTAGTCGCACAGTCTACCCCCAAGACTGTTCTTCCGGTCAATAAAGAGCCCAAGATTCATAAACGCACACTGACCTCCAAACAACAAGTTATTAAACCTGAACCCATCGTGAAACCTGGTAAATTAACAACATTTCGTGACGATTCTCTCATTATCATGAACCTCGTTGACAATCCTGACCTTTCTCTCAGTCTGCAGGACAAAAATGACAGGATGCTCTGGGGTGAATTGAACAAGAAGCTCGAACTTCCTAGAATAGAGCCTTTGACGGTCACCCGGCTCACTCGAGGAAAGGATTCTAAGCATCTAAATCACCCGAGGCTTCTCCGAGTAACACTTAAGAATGTTACCGAAGTAGAGGACGTCTTGCTAGCAAGTCAATTGCTGAAATCCGATGGTAACGTAAGGATATTGCCCGACATACCGTACTCTGAGCCCAATATCATACGGAACATCCCTAAAGAATCTCGCGAGAAGTTCTTCCGCGGAAGAAACATAATTGTGCAAGGTATACCGGAAAATACAGACCCTACTCAATCAAATTCTGACATCAGGGAATGGAAATTCATCAAACA